CACACACACACACACACACACACACACACACACACACACACACACACACACACACACAGACACACACACAAAAATTAGATATTCCTATTACAGTATCACTTGTGCATTGCTTGTGACCATGTGGTCGGGAAGTCGGGGCCGTAGATGAAGACGTCGTTGCCGTCTCACGACATAAGTGGCACCTACTTCCCAACTGTGTTGAAAAGCGGGATTTTCCTTACGCTGTATTGTTAATATTGCATGGTGTTTACATTCCTGCCTTCCACGTTCAGGTGTAAGTAATGTGGTTGGGATGTGAGGACGTTTTATGGTGATGTTGTTGTCGTACTCCGTCGTAAGTGATTCGGTTCTGTGTCAAGTTGTCAACCTCTTTGTACCATTTTACAAAGACGCAGTCATGCCTGACCACAAATCTCTCTCTCTCTCTCTATGTCTCATGACTGTTGGTGGGGTTAAATGAGTTCGATGATGTTTCTACAATGACCACAGATCAAAACCCAGCCGTAAGGGGTTGTGGTTCGTTAGTAGGTGGAAAAAATATAAATGGAAATGAACATCACGAAATGGAGTGGTATGTATGGAAAAGCGGTTCCATTTTTCGGTGCATAGTATGTTTGGAACACTGAACGTGTCTTTTTATTGTTGTGTTTATGGTAGCAAGGCAGGAAAAAAACGAACGTCGTGGAAGGCCAAGTAGTAAGTCCATTGTGCGTGCAAAGCGTTTGGCATTGTAGGTGTGAGGGCATTTCATATCCCGTATAAGAGACAGTGCAGATGACGAACGAGCGCATGGTGTGTGAATGCGGTCGGCCTTTCATGTCATTAAGGACATTAGACTCTCATCGCGGGAGGGCATGTCCGTCGTCAACAAATCGTAGATCAAACGATGACGACGGACAGAGTGGGGAGAACAGACCCGCAGAGGAGGATGGCGCGCCGGATGGCGGTGGCCTGGGTGAGAACATCGTCGACCTCGCCGTGAATGTGGAAATGAAATGTGATTCCGAGGAGGATCCCCCTGACGTGCAGTCGTTCGACACATTTCGCAGACTGACTGCAATCATGTTGTCCTCTAGGGGTGGCTTAGGGATGTCGCTCAACGACATCGACGCTCTTCTGTCAGTACTGACAGATCCAAGATTCTTGCTGCAGGAAATCGTGTACCGCAACAGCCGTGACTTTTTACGTTGGACGAGCAGGCAGGCAGGGACGAACGGGTGGCGGGAGATAGATCTTAGAAGTGATGACTGACGTTGCGAGGCCTTCACCCAACTTCCACGGGAAAGTGGTGCACAGTGATGTTGTTGTGAGGGCACAGACAGGAAGTACGTGGTATGCATCTGTGGCAATGTTTTTTGTCATGAACACCCTGTACGGAGGAAGTGTCCACCACACATGAGTGCACCTTTGTAAAATGCTACAAAGAGGCTGACACTGAAAGAGCAGATGTGACAGGGT